TGCGGGCTGAGGTGACTGCTGTGGTCACACCAGCCCACGCTGCTCACTGTCTGTCCGGCATGTGCCACCTGGCTGAGTTTGTGTGCAGCTGATACGACTGATCCTCACTTGGAGCTCTTGCTGTGGCGGAGTTACTCACCAGGAACTGCAGTGATTTTTTAAAATCTCGCTGTCCATATGGTCACCTTGGTGACTGGGTAATGTAAATATTGCAGAAACCCATTCCTGGGGTAGAGCAGTATCCTCCCTACGGCAGCCTCAGGGCTGCCAAGCTAGGGAATACGTAGTGCCAGTTGTAAACCAGCAGTTTCCTTCTACGGGAAGTCATCATCTGTCACCTGTCTATGCAAAGGTGGAATTGAATGGTAGTTTAATTAACTAGCTCTGTGGTGTTCAGAGAGAACAGGCTGCTAACCACCTCCATTAAACAGCTATTGAGGGAAACTGCACCAAGGTACTTCCTTAAGCCACACGCCCAAACTTACCAGGAAATTGTCAGGCCTGGGTAATGTCCACCAGCTTCAAAAGTAAGCAATGTCTTGACTCCATGCAGTCACCGGTTACCTTTGAATATTGGCCTCAATCTAGATTTTTTTAGGCTCTCAACCAAGAGTAGTGTTTTCTAGACCAACAGTAATAACGAGTTTTTTTTGTGTGTTTTTTAAACTGAAAGCAGAGGTATTTTCTACTTCACTATGGTTGTTCTGTAAGCAGAGTCAAAGGTACACAATCTCCCTTTAAAGCAAGTCATTTAGTATCAAGGCAATTGGGCACCAACTGGGAACCATTTAGCACCCAAAGTAATCAAGACTGGCGTTAAAATCTGGGGGCCCTACCTTGCCAAACGTGTAATAAAGGAATTAATGCAAGGAGCCTCTTTTTTGTCCCTGGCTTGAACACAGGAGAAAGCAGCTGTGAGGAGTCTCCTCAGAAGTCCTCCACATCACTACCTTTTTGCCTCTACAGCCAAATCAGAAAACCTCTTTGTATGTGTGAGACTTCAAATCTGATCCAATTTGGCTGCTTTTTTCCTTAACTTCAGAGCGGCACTGCAGCATAGATAACCCCTAGAGCTTGTGATGGGTGTCGCAGTAGGCTGATATCCTAGGGTTTCCAAAATAAGAAGAGATCTTATCCATTCCCAAACCTGAACCAATATCTGTTCTGTGACATATCAGGCTAGAATTTTGATCTGTGCTAGCCCTGGAGAGGTTGCAGCAGGTTTTTTTACCCTTGGGCATCCTATATGCTGCAGTTGAACAAGAATATATGCTGACACCGGGGGGAGACAGCAGCTCAGATTTGTTTCGGTTTCTTGTCCAGAAAGCAGCTGGGGACGTCGAAGTCTGGTTTCTTACTGAAAGAAGGGTTACACAGTTAGTCCTGGCAAGTTTGAAAGAGGAATAGAGAATTCAATTGAGTTTCTTCAAGTGAGAGGAGGCGGCAAGGATAGAGACCCTTGAAGTGCGCCGTGTGTGAGTGTGCAGCTTGTTAGCAGGGGATCTACACAGGATCCTCTTGTAGATGTTCCCACTCCAGAAAGTGAACCAGATCACACTCTTCTGGTGCCCACAGGACTACAGAGTCTCTCCTTCTCCCCTGTTCCATAAAATTACTCTTTTTAAAAAGAGCATTCGTGTCGTGTAGATGGGCAGCTTAACCTTACACAGTACGTTACTTGCACAAGTCTTTCGCGGTCAGATGTTGTCATCGTCACCAGTGCCAAGTGTTAAAGACTGAGAAAATAAAAGCATTACTGGCTTTTAAACTTCTGGTGTTTGCACCTTTAGGCTTTCTTCTACTGACAGGAAGGCCATGTGTTTTTAAACAAAAGCCAAAATCCTTGTGTAGTAATAAAGAAAGAAGCTGTTGGGATTTCAAGGGAAAAAAAATAATTGCTCACAGATTCTGAGATGACTTAAGTGGCTGCTGGAATAGGGCTCTTCCAGCCTGAAGGAGCTCAGTGACTGTGGGCATCTGTAGTCCTTAAAGTGAAAAATAAGTGAAGAAGCATTCAATGGGACTGTTTTCTCATTATCCATTTTAGACTTTGATTGAAATGAACTCAGCTTGAGTTTAGTACCACTGAGCGCTTTTAGTCTGAGGGCCACAAGACTTTTACCAGAAACACAACAGCACTGGTGCTGAAGGAAGGCAGGGCTCCCTGAGCAGTGCTCCAGGTCAGGAGAGATTGTTGCAAGTCAGGGAGCTATATTTTGGGCAACCTGGTGTAGTGGAGGATTTCTCTGTCCATGGCAGGGGGTTTGGAACTAGATGATCTTTAAGGTCCCTTCCAACCCTAACCATTCTAGGATTCTATGATTCTATATGTTTTTCAGCTCTTCCAAGAGCCTCACTTGCAAACAACTATTTCCAACATTTCCTGCCTCACTTTTTTTTCTTGGGGATCAGCAATTCCAGCTGTTTTTTCTGGCTTTTCTCAGTAAAAGCCCTGGAAATGTTCTGTCTGGGCTAGAGTCCTTCACAGTTCTTCTTGATTTCAGATTTAAGCTGTGACAGTCAGCATCTCTGCCTGCCTGCTGACTGTCAACCCCCTGGCCTGAACTCTGGGCAAAGAGGAGTTCTGCAGCAAACTCTCATGGCCCCCTTTCCAGCTCTGTCATGGGAGAAACCAGTAGAGTTTCAATCTACTGAAACTCACTTGTTTCAGCCTTCACCATTTCTTCAAAATTGCTTCCGAAGATGCATCAACTTGTTGTGTCCTGTCCCTATTTATTATTTACTAACCTCAGCCTTCAAGTCAAGTTTAGTGAGGAGCTGATAGACCTCACATGAAGGAGCTGACTACCCTGTGAGAGTCTTGTGTCCGACATGCTCCTGATCACATGGAAAACAAATGTACAACCCATGTGTGTGGAGACAGATCAGGTAAAATTTCTAAAACCTGAGTTTAAGTTTCCCACCGGACATGTGCCAAAAGCCATTTTCAGGTAGGATGGCTGTAAGTGACTACTTGGTTTGAGGACTTGGAGGTGACTGAATGTTTACTCACAACCCATGTCACTCCACAGTTTGGCTTTGGCTTTTGAAGCTGGTTTGTCTTGGCTATTGAAGCAAGCCCAGCATATCATCTAGGCTCGGCTAGACCGTGATTGGCATATGTGTCTACCAAACTCGGGGATAATCAGAGCACCAGCTGGCCCTTCTCCAGCTGATAACAGAGATACTCAGTAGTTGCTAGAACAGTTATCCACATAGCAATGGACTCATATGTTCCTGTAGAGAAAGAATTTGGGCACAAATAAGTGATTAGGCATGTATTCATGTGTGTCTCCCTATGGCATCAACTTCTCCCTCTTTGTGATGAGAGAGGTGTTGAAAATGTCTGTGTGTACCAGCATCAAAGGCTGCCTAACCACAAGACTGTTTCCAGTCTGTCCAAAGGCTCTTGAGATGGCTGTCACAGAGCGGAGAATGTATATAGCTGTTTCCTGTTGATCACTAGAAATACAGCATAAGTGATTTATCCTTTTTTATTAGTCTCTTTTTTCCCCAAACTTCCTCATATCAGTTGGTTTTGCTCTCCAATGCCTCAACTTCTAACAGTGTGGCACTTTCCCAGTCTTATGGCTCTTTTGAGTTGCTTTGACTGGTATTCCTCTGGTGTAAACTCAGGCTCATTTCCTGGCTTAGTGTTTCTCATTGATTTGAGGAGGCTTAAAGCTAACCAACAAGACACTGACAGTTAAGTGCAGTTTGAGTCACATAAATGAGTCTGGCTTTTATATGTATTGATTTTCCAAAAGAGTTTTCTTATTTTGCATTTCTTACATAGAACATTGTTCCTACATCCCTCCTTTGTGCATTTCTCGCCCAGTGCACTCCAAGTGCATTTGTCCCATCTGTACCATGGGTTACAGCATGCTATCAGGACAGAGGACTTGAAAATAGGGAAAAAATGTGTTGAGCGAATCATTACAGGCCTGCTTCATGAGCTGGAGGAAAATAAATGTTTTTTTTCCATGAAGACGAGGCTTGGAAAAGCATTTAGAAGTAATTAGTCAATGAGACATCATGAAAATTCAGGTGATTTGCATTCCGGCTAGCTTACAGCAGAGGGACATCTGTTACAGCTTCTTCATCAACATATGCATTTGCATCTGCCTCTCCTCTTTATGCAAAGATACTTTAATTGTTTTATTCTAGTGGTGCATTTCAGTCACATGGAGAGAGTCATGAGTGGGAGCAAAGAGATTTGCTTTGACCTCCTGCAATGGTCAAGTGTACTGAGCCTCGCTACAAGAGCTATTGCCAGCAAACCTCATAAAATAATAGGCATTCAAAATCCTACCAAGAAGACATTGGACTCCTGCATGCTATTTCAAGTGCTCTTGAATAAGGTGCACGCTATTTGGTAACATCCTCCTATTAGCTTGTTTAGTCATATGTTAAAGGAATTGCTTGTCATCCTAAATTACCAGTTGAGTCAGAACTGTATGAGCCACAATATTTTTCTTCAGCACAAAGGGTTACAACGTTTTGTGGAAAACATGGGTTGTAATTACCCTTACGCAGCAGCAAAGGGGGAGGGAGGAAGAAAGAAGACGACTCATCTCAGAAGATTTTATATAAAATATCAAAGTTCATTTGATTTCAGACTCTTTTTTTTTTTTCCCTTCCCGCAGGTTTCCATACACATTAAGCAGGACTGGGTAGAAAAGTTTTGCCAGTCCTCAACCTCCCAGCGGGAGGCTGGGAAGAGTGAAGGTGTTTAGTGAGGCTTTCCCAGCCCTTTCTAGGGAAAGGATGTTTTTCCGTTGCTCTCTGGGAGATGTGGCACCAAATGTTTCCTCTTTCCTCATGCTTGTTTCCATTAAACTGTTCATGGAGGCTTCACCCTCATTTTGCCAAAGAATACAAAACAGGAAAGACTGATAAATTCCTGTAACAAAAATTACTTCCTTTTGATACTTCCTCATTGCTGAAATGGATGGAAAGCAGGTGATTCTGTACCTGATCCCATGGACTCCACTGTGAATTAGGGATGGCAGAAGACACTCCCTACAAATGAAGAAGTGTTGCAATGAGGCCCTAAACCCCTAACTGCGTAAGCCATGGCAGCAGAGACCAGTAAGGCTGAGCTGCGGTGAGGCAGCAGTCTGGGACTCTGCTCCATTCAGGTTTGGTCTCGTTCTTCTTCATGTAAATCCAGAACACAGCAATGAAGTCATCGGGTTTGTGCTGATTTGACTACAGCGCACTGTTACTTCTCCCCAGTAGTACAGTGCAATGTCATCGGGTGAAGGTAAACAGTCATTGGGAAAATGGGGTGTGCATCATTTGTTTCTTAAGAAAACCAAGCTACTGTGCAATTACTGCCTATCCTTGTGGTAAAGAGGCACCAGATCTATTTCTTTCCTCATGCTGATTTCACACGGCTTCATATTCATCGATATTTAGTGGAGCAATTGCTGCTTCAAGGCAATGTGAAATGATATTCAGGGCCATGATACCAGGTCAATAAAACATTCCTGC